AAGTCATGTTTTTCACGGTAACCCCCGAATCAGTTTCGCAAATTAAAAAGTTAGTTTATTTATTTATTTATTCAGAAAATTTGCAAAAAATCGCGTACTCTGATGTATTAGTCAGACGGGGTGTTACAGTAACAACCTCGATTATGTTGTGGACAAGTACATTTTCCTACGTATCGAGGATAACCGTGGCAATATTGTAGAGCTATAAGACCTATTTTGAACTTTAGAGTTAAGATGGAGTAAAGTCTACATTTCAATGAATTTTTTTAAAAAATGGCAATATCCAACAAGCAATAGCTGACCCAGGATCAACAAGGAGGAGGAATTACCAGCGCCTACGCTCGTCACCACTAGAAGCAGAAGTCCAGAAGACTTAAGAAGATGCGTGTAGTTTAATTATCTCCATTCCGTGAACCCGCAATATTTTGTTGAGGGAATTTCTTCATATTTCGAAACTCCGTTAAAATTCAAGTTGAGACCAAAATTTCAGTGCATTTCTAATGTAAGCAAAGAGCGAGTTATTTCTATAATTTGACACTTGCAAAAGTTAGAGTATCGCGTCAATAGATTGCAACACATAGACAAAACAGTGGACTTTCCATTGCTTGAACTATGTGAGTTTTAAGTTAAGTTATAACTCTAGAAGTTACCTCACTTGAGTTGGCAAGAGCCTTTCAGCTAGTATAAGAAGTAATAATTTTCAGTGTATAAGAGTCATAGATCCGGGTAAGTCCTGGAGGCTTGAAATAAAAGCCATAAGTCCGGGAGGAACCATGGAGGCTTGAAGCTGAACCATAGCAGGCATATTTTCCATATGAGGTGATCTCTAGTAGTTAGAGGAAGAGGAGACCCAATTTAAAGGAAACTAGAGCGAGGATTGCACGTTGAGTTAGGTTTTGACTCCGTCACCCAAAGAAGTTCCAATAGTATGAGAATACTCATACGACAGTTCGCATGGAATTTAATGAAGGTCGAGTGGGAGTTAGCAACCACCATGATTCAAGAAGGAGAACCAACTTCCGCATTCGTGGAAGTCGAGATAACATGTTTAAGAAGACGAAGACTTACAAATTTTGCATACCTGTGCCGAATGCCACAACTCTCGAGTTGGAAGTTGTGGGCAGATGGACGATATGCCGATAGGAAAATTCTAGAAGCCATGAAGAGAGAGAACACTTCACTGACAACGCTCGAAGAGTTACCATCGTTCGAAATCACGCGTTCGTGTTTTCAAAATGTTACCGAGAAGACCACTTGACCGACCAATGAAATTCGATTGACCTGATGATGGAGAAGGACCCGTGTCAAGAGCGCCAAACCGAGAGACTCCAAGAAGCTGCAAGAGCTGAAGACCCAGACGCCAAGAAGCTGCAACAATTGAAGACCAGACGCCGAGAAGCTACAAGAGCTGAAGACTCAAATCCAAATTGGGAATAGTTGAACCAAACACGTCACTTTATAGTGCGCCTGACGGTTCATAAAGAAAGAAAGATGTGCACCCATTACCGAAAGCTAAGTAGACTCAAGGAGGATAAGTATTCACGTTCGAGAGCCGAGAAAAAATGTTGACCCCATGAGGGAAAACCGCAAGTTCCAACATTTACTTGAAGCTCGGACATCCTCCACCAGAAGTCGGGACCCGATGCCTCAAGATCAGAAAGCACGCGAAAGTTGCGGTGATGAAATCTTCTCTAAGTATTGGTATTGTTTCGACATCACTAGTTTAGAATTAGGCTTTGAGAAAGAAATTATGAAGAAACAGATAAGTAGTAAGCGTAAAGATAACTTGAGAGAGTTGTCTAGCGAGCAAAGTAGAAGGATCCTCAACAACAAAGAACAATATTCCAGTATTAAGTTGAGTCATAATGTAAAGAAGAGCAACCGTGGTAAAAGAAATAGAGAACAGAGAAGCCTTAATAGTAAGATTATAGTACCCTTGGGTAAAGTTTACCCATTTAAGCAGTGAGACACTCAGATTGTACTAAGAAGCAGATAGATCCGAGCACAATGCGTGCATTAGCACGTATCCAGAGCCCATACTGATGTTCCACACACTTGTCCCACTTTCGCCCTATCATTGGGGCGAAGCCACCGAGTGCGTGCCCGTGCACCGAGTCCGATCGAGTCGCGCCCCTGCGCTCTGCCCAACGCCCGTGCGTCCGTCAATCCTACCAGTCAATGCACCGATTCCGTTTGCCGTGGCCCAAGCACGCCCCTACGTCAGCGGCCGTGGCACCATTCAAAGTTGTACGTCGCAGTACAACAAGGTTACTAACGTAAGACGTGTACGCGACCTTGTTGTGATTGCAGGCGACTCTGACCCTGCAAGTACATCGCACGCAGGTACCGCATGCAGGTAATCCGCGCCCGTGGGCCCTGGGTAGTGGGTAAACCGCATGTGGCATACCGCACGCAATGTGCCGCCTCGTCAGGAGCCGAATCACGATGAGTCGAACCACAATTGTTAGCTGTCCTCATCAGTTTTACAGATCGATGTATAATTAAGAAAGAGGATCAGAACGCTTAAAGGCTTGTGTTCTGAATGACAGACCCCTATAGAAGTACAATTTGCCACTAAAGCAATTAATAGAAGAATAGAATAGACATGACATCATACGTTTTAATACGGACATGAGTGTGGATCGCTGACATACGAGAAAGAGATAGCGAGAGAAAGTTTATCGGCCAATAGTAGACCGATGGACGAGAGAGTAGAAATCAGTGATTCATGCAAAAGACTAAGACAACCCTGAACCGGCGAAAGTCGCGTACAGGCCAGCCACAGAAACACTTTCAGACCAATGAGTACTACAAAGTGACCTGAGGGTCACAATCGGAAAGAAACTACAGCATAGTTACCCCAACCATTTTCCATCTTATAGTCGAGATGGTGAGCTAAGC